GGAGGCTTAGGATGTTGAGCATTTTCTTAAGTGTTCCAGCCATTTGAGATTCTTCTTTTGAGAATTCTGTGTTTAGTTCTCTACCCCATTTTTTTTAATTGAGTTATTTGGAATTTGATGTCTAATTTCTTGAGTTCTTTATATATTTTGGAATCAGTCCTCTGTCTGATGTTGGGTTGGTGTAGATTTTATCCCATTCAGTAGGCTGCTGTTTTGTCTTATTGACAGTGTCCTTTGCTTAACAGAAGCCTCTCGGTTTCAGTAGGTCCCATTTATTCAATGTTGCTCTTAGTGTCTGTGTTTCTGGGGTCATATTTAGGAAGTTGTCTCCTGTGCCCATGCATTGAAGACTAATTTCTACTTTCCCTTTTATTAAGTTGAGTGGGGTTGGATTTATATTGGTGCCTTTAATCCATGGGACTTGAGCTTCGTGCATGGGGATAGATATGGATCTATTTTAATTCATCTACATTTTGACATCCATTTATGCCAGCACCATTTGTTGAAGATGCTTTCTTTTTTTCCATTGTATAATTATAGCTTCTCTGTCAAAAATCAGGTGTTCACAGTTGTGTGGATTAATATCGGGTCTTCAATTTGATTCCATTGGTCAACCTCTCTGTTTTTGTGCCCTGACAGTTTGTAGCTTTATAATACTGCAGCTTTATAATAGAGCTTGATGTCAGGGATGGTGATGCCTCTGGAAGTTCCTTTATTGTACAGGATTGTTTTGGTTATTCGGTTTTCCCCCACATGATATTGAGTATTGTTCTTTCAAGGCCAGTGATTAATTTTGTTGAGTATTAGTAGGGATTGCACTGAATCTATAGATTGCTTTTGGTAGGATTGCAATTTTTATTGTGTTGACCATACCCATGCAAGAGCATGGGAGATCTTTCCATTTTCTGGTATCTTCTTCAGTTTCTTACCTTAAAAGCATAAAGTTCTCCCTTAACAGGTATTTCACTTCTTTCATTAGTGTTACCCTAGATATTTTATGCTATTTGTGTTTTTTGTGAAGTGTGACATTTTTATAATTTCTTTCTTATCTTCTTTATTATTTGTATACAGGAGGGCTACTGAGTTTTTTGAGTTGATCTCATATCCTGCTATATTACTGAAGACATTTATCAGCTATAGAAGTTCCCTAGTAGAGTTTTGGGGTCACTTATGTATTCTATCATATCATCTGCAAATAACAAAAGTTTGACTTTTTCCTTTCCAATTTGAATCCCTTGATCTCCTTTTATTATTTTATTGCTTTAAACTGAACTTCAAGAACTATATTGAATCGATATGGATAGAGTAGACAGCCTTTTCTTGTATGAATTTAGTGGGATGGCTTTGAGTTTCTATCCATTTAATTTGATGCTGTTTTAATTTATTGCTTTTATTATGTTTAGATATGTCTTTTGTATCCCTGATTTCTTCAAGACTTTTATCATAAATGGGTGCTGGAATTTGTTGAATATTTTTTCAGCATCTAATGAAATGATCATGTGATTTTTTTCTTTCAGTATTTTTACATTATGAATTACATTTATAGATTTTCATATATTAAAACAGCCCTGCATCTCTGGGATGAAGCTGACTTGATCATGGTGAATGAATCTTTTGATGTGTTCTTGGATGCAGGTTGCCAGGATTTTATTGAGTATTTTTGTATCTATGTTCTTGAGTGAGAATGGCCTGTAATTCTCTTTCTTTGTTAAGTCTTTGTGTAGTTTTGGTATCAGGGTAGCTGTAACCTCATAAAAATAATTTGGTTATATTCCTTCTGTTTCTCTTATGTGGAATACTTTGAGGAGTATAGGTGGTAGTTCTTCTTTGAAGTTCTGATAGAATTCTGCATTAAAACCATCCAGCCCTGGGCTTTTTATGGTGGGGAGGCTTGTTATGACAGCTTCCATTTCCTTGCAGGTTATAGGTCTATTCAAATTGTCCACCTGATCTTGATTTAATTTTGGTATGTGGTACTTATTCAGAAAATTGTTTATTTCTTTTACATTTTTCAATTTTTTGGAGTACAGGTTTTTGTAGTATGGCCTAATGATTCTCTGAATTTTCTCAGTGTCTGTTGTTTTGTCTCCTTTTTCATTTCTGATTTTGTTAATTTGGATGTTTTCTCTCTGCCTTTGATTAGTTTGGTAAGGGTTTGTCAATCTTGTTGATTTTCTCAAATAACCAGCTCCTTGTTTCATTTATTCTTTGGATTGTTTTGTGTATTTCCATTTTGCTGACTTCAGCCCTCAACTTGATTATTTCCTCTTTTTTACTCCTCCTGAGTGAGTTTGCTTCTTTTAATTCTAGAGCTTTCAGGTATGCTGTTAAGTCACTAGTATGAGCTTTCTCCATTTTCTTTATGTGGGCACTTAGTGCTATGAACTTTTCTTTGAGCACTGCTTTCCTAGTGTTCCATAGGTTTGGGTGCATTGTGTCTTCATTTTCACTGAATTTTAGGAAATCTTGATTTTCTTTTTTTATTTCTTCCTTGTCCCAGAGGTGGTTCAATAGAGCACTGCTTAATTTTCATGTTTGTGGGCTATCTTAAATTAGTGTTGCTGTTGAATTCTAATTTTAAACTATGGTGATCCAATAAGACACAGGGGGTTACTGCATTTTTTTTGTTTCTGTTGAAGTTTGCTTTGTTACTGAATATGTGGTCAATTTTAGAGAAAGTTCCCTTATTTGCTGAGAAGAAGGTATATTCTTTTGTGTTTGGGTGGTATGTTTTCTAGATGTCTATTAATTTCATTTGAGTCATGATATCTGTTAGCTCTTTTTTTTTCAAGCAAACGAATATTTTATTAACATGTAAGATTTTTCAAACATGGTAGGGGTTTTGACTTCAAATGCTTCTCAGGTCTGCTACTCAATACACTTATAGCTTGACTACATATGAACCTTGAAGACGCCTCTTCCTTGAAGTTTAGGGTCCACTGCAGACAGTTCCAAGATTTCCTTCTCAGCCCACAACGGGCACTGCAAATGTCTTTTATTTTATGCCCAGATCTCCTCAAATATATGGGGATAAAATATCAACTTGTACAGACTGTCAAGACTTCGTGTCCCATTCTGGGTTCCATTTCATTTAGAAATGAGTTAGGCTGTCCAAACAAACTCACCAAACAGGTTACAATAGATAGCGGAGCACATAAAATTTAAATTTTGCACAAAATACATCTCTCCTCCTTTGGTCTCACATAGAAATTAAAGCCCCCCCTGATAGAAACAATACTATCCTCCGACCCATCTCCCAGGTCATCAGTCCTAGCCATATCCGGCCCATCCGCAGTCCCAGTCTGGTCCCTTTTTGTCCCTTCTTCTGACATTGCTGCATGGACTGGTCTTCTAGAACGCAGCTCCTTCAGAACTTCCAGAGCCGGTGAGCTCCAACCCGAGTCACAGGTTTCACAGGGACCCAAAGTTCCAGGGAGCTATCAGGTCACCCAAGAAGGAGCAAAGCACCTCAAAATGCATAAACAACAACCAAAGCCCAGGAACAAACGTCATCCGACTGCCACAAGGGCTTACAATCTAGGCCCCAATTCCCGTATGTGAGCGCATTTTCCAAATCAAAGTTATTTCCCCCAAACAAACAAACAAAAAGAACCGCTGAATAATCAAAACTCATATCGAGGTCGTCAACCGCAGACCGTAGCAGAAAGGTAGTGTCAGTGAGAACAGAGTCAAGACAGAGGGGGGGAAGAAAAAAAGAAAAGAAAAAAAAAAAAGGGAAAACAAAAGGCTCTCTGGTTTCAGCTTCTCTAGGGTGTCATGTCAGCCAATCGCCATCACTCGACCAGAATCCATTGGCTGGAGACCGCGGCCCCGCTCACGACGACTCGCTCTTCTCTATCTGCCGCACCAGCTGCACCAGCATCTCGGCCATCTTCGCCATCTCCTGCGCCTTCTCCTCGGCCTTCTCCGCCCTGGGGCCGCGGGGCTCGGCGCCGCCCGCGCCCTGGAGGTGGTTGAGCGCGCTCTCCTCGGAGGCCTCCACCTGCGTCTTGATCTGGATCAGCATATTGTCCATCTCCCACAGCTTGCCCGGGTTGCGCACGGGCGCGCGCCCGCGCTCGCGCGTCAGCGACGCGATGTCCTCGCGCATCTCGTGGATGACGGGCAGCAGAAACTGCTCGAAGTCCTCCTCCGGCTCCAGCACCTCCACCTCCTCGGGCTCCGCCAGCTCCACCGCATCCAGGGGCCGCATCTCCGCCGCTGTGCTGGTCTGCGGGACACTCAGTGACCTAGCTCCGGCCGAGTCCTCAAAACTTCGGCCGCTGTTCAACTTTCGGCCGAGGAGAGGCCACGGAGACTAGCGACCGCCGAGCTGACGAGCGACGAACAAAATCCTGTTAGCTCTTTTATTTCTGTTTGGTTTCTGTCTGGTTGACTTGTCCATTGGGAAATGTGGGGTGTTGAAGTCTCCCACTAATAGTGTGTGTGGTTGATATGCAACTTAAGTTTTAGTAATGCTTCTTTTACATATGTTGGTGATCTTGTACTTGGGGCATAGATGTTCATGATTGAGACTTCATCTTGATGGATTGTTCCTGTTATGCGTATAAAGTATCCTTCTTTATTGCTTCTGATTGATTATAGTTTGAAAAATTTTGTTAGATATTAGGATAGCTACATCTGCTTGTTTCTTAAACCATTTGATTGGAAAATCTTTTCCCAACCCTTCACTCTGAGGTTATGTCAGTCTTTGAGGTTGAGGTGTGTTTCTTGTATACAGCAGAAGGCTGAATCCTGCTTTCCTTTCCCTTCACTTAGCCTTTGTCTTTTTGTTTGTTTGTTTGTTTGTTTATTCAAGACAGGTTTTCTCCACATAGTTTTGGAGAGCCTGCCCTGGCACTTGCTCTTTAGACCAGACTGGCTTTGAACTCACAGAGATCCTCCTGCCTCTGCCAGTCAAAATTCCCGCGTCCTCCCCTCTTCCCACTTCCCTCCCACTCTCCACATTCCCACTTTCTTCCCCCACCCCCTCCAGTCCTAAAAGTATGGAATGTTTCACAAATTTACATGTCATCCTTGTGCAGAGGCCATGCTAATCTTCTCTGTATTGTCCAATTTTAGTAGTATATGTGCTACCGAAGCGAGCATGACTGTGTGCTTTTTGTTTGTTTGTTTTTTTGCTTTTTTTTTGTTTTTCAAGACAGGGTTTCTCTGTAGCTTTGTAGCCTGTCCTGGAGTTAGCTCCTGCAGACCAGGCTGGTTTCAAACCCACAGAGATCTGCCTGCCTCTGCCTCCTGAGTCCTGGCATTAAAAGCATGTGCGACCATCACCCAGCTACAACTGTGTCTTTTTATAGGTGAATTGATTCCATTGATTTAAGAGAATTAATGACCAAAGATTGTTAATTTCTGTTATTTTTTGGTGGTAGTTGGTGTGTTTCCCTTCTTTGGGATTTTCTGGTGTGGGGGTTACCTGTTGTCTGTGTTTTTGTTTGTACAGTTAGCTTCCTTGGGTTGGGGTTTTTCTTCTAATCATTTCTGTAGGTCTGGATTTTTGGATAGGTATTGTTTAAATCTGGTTTTTCCATGGAATATCTTGTTTTCTACATCGATGATAATTAAAAACTTTGTTGGGTATAGTAGTCTGGGCTTGCATCTTTTAGAGTCTGCAGCACATCTGCCCAGGACCTTCTGGCTTTCATGTTTTCCATTGAGAATTTGGGTGTAATTCTGATATGTCTACCTTTATATGTTACTTGACCTTTTTCCTTTGTAGCTATTAATATTCTTTCTTTATTCAGTATGTTTTGAATTTTGATTATTATATGGTGTGGGGACTTTTTTTTGATCCAGTGTATTTGGTGTTCTGTTAGCTTCATGTATCCTTCATAGAAATATGTAGATGTAAGTCATAAACAATCCCACACAAGTTTGGAATTATAATTAATAAAAGGATTATTTATTTAAGGGGAAAACTTACAAATCGCTGTCCTAGATGACAGCCCTTTGCATGACTAGGAACAGAGTCTAGTAGCCAGAAGCAGAGCCAGAAGCAAGAAAGAGAGAGCAGGGCTGCTGCTGCTTTTTAAAGCAAGAGACCATGCCCAAGTAGGCTAGTATCTTAAAGGCTATTGGTTGAAGGAGCAGAAGGAGCTTCTGCAGCACCACCCCTTTTTGTTTAAGTAAGAGAGTTCTAAACTCAATACAAAACAATATACACTAGGAACAGATATCAAGTATAAGATTAGAATTACAATCATCATAAACATTATTAAGCAAGGAACATGTGTTAAATGTTATAATAAGCTTTCTATTCTAAGGAGTCTAAGTCTTGTATAGGAAATGGCTTGGCTAGATCATAAGAGGATGGTAACTAAGACGATCGAATCTTTAACACCATTGAAGACCTGAGAAGGGAGATATTACTTGAGCAGGCAGGAAGTACAATCAAGTAGCTTCCAAAGTGAGTAATATATGACAGAGACAATTAGCTACCTGAGCAATCACCAAAAGTTTCATTTTGCAACGTTGAAGCAACCATCTTTGGCTATGGCCTAGCATAATGGGCAGACCATTTTCAGAGGCAGGAAAAATTTCAAAACCGTCTTATCCTGTCTTGGCAAGATTTGACAATCCTGCTTATCCATTTCTGGATATCATGTAACTTGTCAGTGGTTGAGGCATTGTCAGTTCCTTGCCCAAAGGCCAGTTTTTCCAAAAAGAAAAGAAGCTCCAAGTGGAGTGTCTTTGGTACTCAACATTCTCTCAGGAATAGATTGGTGCTGTCAGAAGCAATCATGTCCCATGTCAACAAAACCCTAAGTTATTTAAATGCCATGTTCCATAGATCCTTGAAGTGGTTGAAGATTACCTATCTAGACACACTACAATCTCCATGTATCTAAGGAAACTAATTGATCTCACTGTATATACAGCAAGCATGAACAATTATTGACCTATAATAATTAATATCTATATTACTTAAAGACTAAGACTTCATATCAGAATATTAAATAATCTGTAAACAAATCTGCAACAAATGAGGACAATTACCTCAAAATGTAAACAATCTATAAGTATCTTGATCAGATGTAGGATTAATATATAATACAATATGAAAATATATCCTAAAAGTTGTATCAATATAAAAAATGTCCTAACCAGAGATAATAACATACATATATACAATCTGACAAAATAACTTTGAATAGGTGTACAAATAATATAAACAAAAGTAACAAATATAATTTGAACTTGTATCAATATACAAAAACTATACCAATGTAAATTATCTATGAATAATATCTAACAATTATTCAGTCTATTGCCCACTATTACTATCCCCTTCTTTTTTTTTTTAACAAACATAGTTTTTACTCCAACCCTCTATCTAATACAAGTAATAATGAACAACCCCTAGACAGTGTTCCAAACCCTATGGACAAACTCTTTTGGGATGGGGGCTTCGTCTTCTCGAATTTCTTCCTGATGTCATGGGGGTGATGTTCTCTTAATGGGATCCTGCAAAATTAAAGTAATGGTTAAGTTTCAAAATTATTGTCCAGTATAGTTGCAAACAATTTCCAAGCAGTCGATAGATAGGGTTTTTTTTCCCCCAAAGATCTTATTTGGAGTTCTGGCCAGAATGTCATGAGAAGGTCTACCATTTCAGGAGCTGGTAGCCTAAAAAAGAGAAGTGGTCTTAAGTAGCACTGTCTGCATCACTATGCCATCTCAACTAGGTAGAGTTGTTGCTATATGGCCCAATTTCTTTCTGGAAACTTCAAAGACTACTGCAGGAAAAGGATCTGTAGGAAAATCTATTGTCCATCATGAAAAACTTAAACATCATTCACATACATTCAAGAATATGATATAGACAAACAGGCATGGAGAAAGTAAAAATTTTTCCTAAAGTCTTTCTTCTGTCCCATACCAGATGGCTCTTGATATGAGACAGAAACTCTGAATGTTCCTTTTAACAACACACTTGGATTTAGAGAAAAACAGAGCCATTGTTCAACTCCAAAACCAGCTAGATATATTAATATACATGCTTGCACACACACACGTGTGTGTGTGTGTAAATGTAAGTATAACTCATACCTGTATTCATAAACCATATTTTGTTTTCTAGATGCTCCTTGGTGGATAGTTATTTTTTCTTCTGTCAGCATTCAAACATCCAGGATCTCTTGAAATTTTGATGATGTACATTTTCCTGCAAAGATAAGAGCAGAACCCTGACCCAACCCTATATGGCTTTTCTTACCACCTGTATGGTTGTCACCATTGTGGATGAGCTGTCATTTCTCTGTTTCAATAGGTTTCTCCTTTTCAAAGCAAATCTTTATTAATTTTGATGGTATCCATTATTTTTCTTCTCCTGTGGAAACAAGAGTGAAACCCCTTCCCCAACAAAGTAATCTCCTGGTTTCCATTGTGAGGTCAACACATGCTTGAAATATACTGGTTGACTCAATTCAGAAGTTTTTTCCATTATCCAATGCCTCTCTGCTGCTGTTGTTCCTTTCTCATTAGTGTTAAGAAAATTCAAGGTTAATAAAGCATTATGCAATCTCTTTCTGGGGTTATTTTCCGTACCTTTCTGTTTGTTCAGCATATCCTTTATAGGATGATTTGACCTTTCTATAACTGCCTGACCTGTAGGATTATTTGGTATACCTGTAATGTGCTTTATATTATTATTAGCAAAAAATCGTTTCATATTTTTTAGATACATATACTGAACCAAGGTCTGTCGTTATTTGTGCAGGTATACCCATGATGGCCATAACTTCCAATAAATGTGTAATTACTGAATCAACCTCTTCTGAGCTCAGAGAAGTTGCCCATTGAAAACCTGAATATGTGTCTATGGGATGGTGTACATATTTTAATTGACCAAATTCTGTAAAATGAAACACATCTGTCTGTCAGATTTCATTCCTTTGAGTACCTTTCGGGTTACTCTCTGCAGGCAATGGTGTTTGATTATAGAAAGAGGTAGTTGCACATCTCTTTATAATCTCCTTAGCTTGTTGCCATGTAATAGCAAAGTCTTTTTTTTTGGTTTTATTTTTTATTCATTTTTTATTTCTTTCTAAATAATACCATTCAAAATTTCCACTTCCTCCCCTCCTCCCATTTCCCTCCTGCTCCCCCAGTCACCCTTCTCCCTCCCCCTCCAGTCCTAAGAGAGGGAGGGGTACCCTGCCCTGTGGGAAGTTCAAGGCTCTCCCCCCTCCATCTAGGCTTAGGAAGGTATGCATCCAAAGAGACTAGGATCTCACAAAGCCAGTACATGCAGAAGAGACAAATCCCAGTGCCATTATCATTGGTTTCTCAGTCTGTGAAAGAAACTCCCTCAGCAGGGTTATCATTGTTTTGGTTGGGAAAGTTTTTTTTCTATGATTTTGTTGAATATATTTTCTGTGCTTTTAGCTGGAGTTCTTCTCCTCTTCTATCCTTACTATTCTTAGATTTGGTCTTTTCATAGTGTCCCAGATTTCCTGGATGTCTTGTGTTAAGGATTTGTAGGATTTAATGATTTTTTTTGACCACCGACTCTGTTTCCTGTATAGTATATTCAAGTCTTGAGATTCTCTCTTCTGTCTCTTGTATTGTGTTGGTTATGCTTGTCTCTGTAGTTCCTGTTCATTTACTCAGATTTTCTATAACCAGAATTCCCTCTGTTTGTGTTTTCTTTATTGCTACTATTTCAAACTTCAAATCTTGAAGTGTTTGCTTAACATGTTTGATTTTTTTTTGGTATTCTTGTTTTTCTGAGAGATTTATTAATTCTTTATATTAATTAATTTATTTATAATATATTTATGTACATAAACACAATTTATATATTATAGTTTATATTTATAATGCATAACCACAATCATATTTTATATAATTATATTTATAATTTATAATTATATTTTATATTTATAAGTTTATTAATTTTTCCATTTTTTGTTTTTATTATCTTCTATTTCTTTAAGGGAGTTTCCATGTTATGGTTATGACAAACAATGCTGCTATGAATGTAGTTGAGTACTTGTCTGTTGTCTGGGGTTTCTGTCCTCCCTGTTTTTTGTCCTCCCACCAGGTTCCACAGCTATTTAGCCCCAAAGAAATTACACAGAGGTCTATAT